CTTTTTTAGAATACTAGGTTGTCCTTTTGTGTGTTATGTTTGTTTGTCTATTTTTGCAATGATCACCTAATCAATGTAAGTATATGAGAAAGTAGGTAGTAATACTATAGGTAATTCCCTAGCTTATAGTGGTTTACTTGTATAGGAATTAGTTTTTGTGAAAGACTCATGTACTCTTTAGTTTCTTTGTATATATTCTATTATTATAGTTATTATTTTCACTATCTAATTTGCATTATCAATTTTATAATATTTTTTAATAGTTTTATACTATTAGATGAAATGTTATAAATATTATTTATTATATAGTTTTAAATTAATATGTAATGTATAGTAATTAAATTAAATAATTATAAATATATTTGATTGTTATACTGATTGTATAATTAATAATAAATAAAAATATTAATAAAATTAAATAAATAAACTTAAATTTTACTAATTAATTTTAATATATTTTATTTTAAAATATATTTTTTTATTTATTAAAAATTTATAATGATTTCTGTATTTTAATTTTATTTTAACTTTAATTTACATTTTCAAAATTTTACTTTTTTACATTAAAATATTTTAAAATTATTTTCTAAATATATTTTAAATTATGTATTCTATGTCATCAATTAAATTCAGGACAAACTTTTCATTTGCTTCTCAATTCAACTTTACACTCTTTGACTCTCTTATTCTAAACTTTACCCCACCCCAACAAAGCCTAAGGGTCTAGATGGAAATGCCTCTAAAGTAACCTGAGTTAAAGATTTATGCTGGAACATGGGGTTCGCTAAAAATAATGTCTAATGTTAAAACAAATAGGAAGTGATTTAATCATGTCACATTAGATAGACTATGGACAAGGTTTATAGTTTGCCTGACGATGGATAATCTAAAAAGTGGATGGAAAATTGTATAAAGGCAATCAATGGCTTAGGTAGAAGAGAATAAGTGTGGCAACCAAGAGGCTAAGCTTGACCAAGGACTACGTCCACATAATCAATCTCAAAGGGTTCTTTATATCCAAATTGCATTAATATACATACAACTGACCAACTATCATGTATTTGGAAAACCATTTGTACCTTTTTAAATGCAGCAAACTCACAAGTATTAAGAGGATGAATTGACATTACATCAAAACCAAGGGTTTTAAACATACGCTTAGTCTACCATTTTCTTATATTAGACTTACTCAGTGGACATATGATATGCATCATTTCTTTAATNGTAAGATTGTAGGATTGTTTTTGGCAAGCTCATCAAATTCAACCGATAGTTTTTTCGTTAGGATAAGTTAATTTTCTACATTTTTCTAAATTCATTTACTTTTTCATCAATATATGCAAGTTTTTCTTGTTTGCATGCCTCTTTTAGTTCTTCTTTTTGAATATATATTGGTCAATGATCATGATGGTGTGATTTGATCATGTTCTTGATAACTTTTATAGTAGATAAAGCCTTCAATGGGATAGGAACTGATTTTATCTAAAGAATCCTTGGCGAGTTTTGATCAAGTAAGAAAAGCTAGTCTTGATCTGTTTTATGTTATTTTTATCAATTGGATGGATACATGTTGCTACTAGAACAAATTGGAGATAAAAATGACTTTTTTTACTAAATCTAGTTTGGTGTGTATTATTAATGTGGTCTTGTGATGATATTAAGTGTTAGAATGGTTGTGATTAATTGGAATTGCTTTTGTGTGTAAATGAGAGAGTTAGAATCTAACAATTGAACAAATTAGTTCAAGTACCAATAAATTTAGAATTGTTTTGAATCAAAACACGAAAGGGAAGGTACCAAATTGATCAATTGAACAAGTCAGATTCTTTCAATCATAGCATTCATTTTTTATTTCTCATATAACATTGAAACAGGTTTAAAAGCATTTTAGCTTCAGGACGCTAAGTGCCAAAAGATGTCATTGAGTGCCAAAACGTGTTGTTAATTACCACTTTTTGCGAGTGCTTTGGTATTGAGTGTCACTTTTCGCAAAAGGTTTGGCGTAATTCTAGGAATCTCAAATGAAGATTATATGGTGATGCTTATTTAGTGTATGCATTGATGTATGAATTCAAGTAAGAAGATATCTTGAACAACCATTCACATTCATGTCTAGTAGAATGATTTATGTAGTGAAAGTCACATGAGGTAATAGCCACAAATACGAAGAGGATTAACTTTGTAAATGATAGGGTGAAATCCATTGACAATAGTTTTGCATAGCAATAGAGGTCACCACAAATATACGTTTCCAATAATTTTGATATTAAATGCATCTATCCAAATAATTAAGACTAGAAGTAAGTTCTCTTGTGTGCATATACATTTAGTGCATCTATCCAAACTTAGTTTTATATATGTGTAACATGATTCACTAGTTTAAGATGACTTTTTTAGAATACTAGGTTGTCCTTTTGTGTGTTATGTTTGTTTGTCTATTTTTGCAATGATCACCTAATCAATGTAAGTATATGAGAAAGTAGGTAGTAATACTATAGGTAATTCCCTAGCTTATAGTGGTTTACTTGTATAGGAATTAGTTTTTGTGAAAGACTCATGTACTCTTTAGTTTCTTTGTATATATTCTATTATTATAGTTATTATTTTCACTATCTAATTTGCATTATCAATTTTATAATATTTTTTAATAGTTTTATACTATTAGATGAAATGTTATAAATATTATTTATTATATAGTTTTAAATTAATATGTAATGTATAGTAATTAAATTAAATATTTATAAATATATTTGATTGTTATACTGATTGTATAATTAATAATAAATAAAAATATTAAAAAAATTAAATAAATAAATTTAAATTTTACTAATTAATTTTAATATATTTTATTTTAAAATATATTTTTTTATTTATTAAAAATTTATAATGATTTCTGTATTTTAATTTTATTTTAACTTTAATTTACATTTTCAAAATTTTACTTTTTTACATTAAAATATTTTAAAATTATTTTCTAAATATATTTTAAATTATGTATTCTATGTCATCAATTAAATTCAGGACAAACTTTTCATTTGCTTCTCAATTCAACTTTACACTCTTTGACTCTCTTATTCTAAACTTTACCCCACCCCAACAAAGCCTAAGGGTCTAGATGGAAATGCCTCTAAAGTAACCTGAGTTAAAGATTTATGCTGGAACATGGGGTTCGCTAAAAATAATGTCTAATGTTAAAACAAATAGGAAGTGATTTAATCATGTCACATTAGATAGACTATGGACAAGGTTTATAGTTTGCCTGACGATGGATAATCTAAAAAGTGGATGGAAAATTGTATAAAGGCAATCAATGGCTTAGGTAGAAGAGAATGAGTGTGGCAACCAAGAGGCTAAGCTTGACCAAGGACTACGTCCACATAATCAATCTCAAAGGGTTCTTTATATCCAAATTGCATTAATATACATACAACTGACCAACTATCATGTATTTGGAAAACCATTTGTACCTTTTTAAATGCAGCAAACTCACAAGTATTAAGAGGATGAATTGACATTACATCAAAACCAAGGGTTTTAAACATACGCTTAGTCTACCATTTTCTTATATTAGACTTACTCAGTGGACATATGATATGCATCATTTCTTTAATGTAACTTAACATTTCTTAAATTATTTTCAACTTCTAATCCCTAATTTGTCTAGAATGTTTCATGACTTAGAAACCATACATATATTTCATTACTCAAAACTAGTCAAATAAAAACGGAGCTACAAATATTCTATTTTCAAGGGTGTCGTACTTTGATATACAAATACAATACGAGTATACGAAACAATACATAAGATACACTTACTTTAAAAAGATATAAAATTTATTAAACATAATAAAATTGCATTTTTCAAAAATTTTGTTGATAAAAGTATCTATATTTCAAAGGTTTGACTACTTCCTCAATATGTATTGATGATATACCCTAAAGTACATAGATATACAAAACAAAATTGAAGTACTGCTGCATAAAATTCCTCGTACAATATATTCATGGCATTACAATAAACAAAAGCAATATTCAGCGTATACTCAAAAGAGAATCACTAATCATAACGGCATTAGATTCTAGAAATTAATGAACTTTATACAAAACCACCCACATTCCCTCTTTCACTCCCTTTTTAAAACTCGTCATAATATATATTCTTATCATTCATCGGCCTAAAAATATTCTTCACAACACAATCAATCGATAAATATATTTACCATTTTGCCAAATGCCTAATCTACACGAAATCACTGTGCTACAGAGTTACACTTACAGATAATAAAATCGGTTGTGGCATTGTGCAGAGCAATAGCGGCTTCAATCATCGTCGTCATCATCACCACATAGCACTTCCATGAGGTCATTCGGTGATACCCAAATTGGAAGATCAAACAAGGTTTGTTTGAACTGTTCTTCTCTCTTAACGCACACAGCTTCTGCTATGTCGCATAAATTTGACACATCACGAATTATCGCTTCCTGCGCTTCCACCTGTTCAATTCACGCACTAAGTTCATTGTCGCACCCACAATCTCTCCAATTCAATTGTAAAATCTCATGTAGAACCTATATTTAGCAAATTAGGGTTTTACCTGCAATAGGAGGTCGCGGAGGAGGGAGCTACCGGCGGAACCGGTTGAGGAAGAAGGGGAAGGGAGGGATTGGGCTTGGTTTAGACGTTGCTGCTGTTGTTGTTGTTGAGGAGTGTGAAGAGCGGTGCGTTGTTGCAGTGCGAGCAAGGTGTTCGACAGTGCTTCCCAGTGAAAAATCTCTTTCTCGTACTTCGATTTGAGCTTGAGTAGGGTTTGTTTCTTACGCTCTCTCCGAAGGTTTTCCGCCGCCGATTCGTCGGCCTCTGGCGGCGGTGGAGCGTCGATTCGGCGGCGCTTGCGCTTGAAGATGAAGCCGTCGTCGTTGCAGAGCTCCCATTGGTGGTCGTCTTCCATTTTGAAAAATGGGAGAGATCGCGGGTTTTTGACTTTTCAATTTTGAATTCCTTCAAATATGCCCCTTTTCTAACATTTCTTTCTTATTAAACCTTTTTCGTTCTGTTAGTTATTTTAAATTAATTTCTAAATTTTAATCCCAATAACCAAACTATTTTAGAATAAGTTTCATTCTTTTATAATTTTAATTTTACTTTATTTAAAATATTCATTTTCTGTTTCTAATGTTCTGCATATTTTAAAAATGTTCTGCCTATTTTACCATTATTGTCCATTATCGATAATATATTTCATAAAAACATGTACATTTTTATATACAAATTTTTAGATTTATCTATGAGAATCTATTTCTTTTATACATTCGTTTTAATTTTATTAAATTAAAATAATTATCACACCATGTTTACTCTTTACGGTTTATTTAAATTTATCCATTTTTTAACTTTTTCCCTTTAAATAATCTTATATTTAAATTTAAATACTTTTTACAAATTTAAATTTAATGCCTCTTAAACTAAAATAATTATTTTACTATTTTATCCCTTAAGTGACTATTTACTTAAATTTAACAATTTTTTAGAACTAAATTAGCTACCTACAATAAAAAAAAAATATTATATGTAAGTTTATAATATAAGTTTATATTTGTTTCTTATATGATTAAAAATTAATTTTGTAAAGATATTGAAAATAACATTAGAAATGGTTAGATTCAATTATTTTAATATTAAAAATTTTATTATAAACAAGTTTTATTATTTTAAAACAAATCATATTTCTATAAACTACTTTTCTAGAGTTTTTTTTTTTACTTTTTAAGAGTTATATTCATTTGTTTGAAGATCAGATACAACTTGAGTGGTATTTAAAGTGTGATCTTCAAGTTTACCTAATCAATTTCTGCCAAAGAATAAGTTAGTTTCTATTATTTTCTCTGACTTGTTTCGTTCTTCTTATGCATGAGAGTTATGGTTCATTACATGTGTCATCTAAATCTTTTATAAGACTCTCTACTTATCAATGATACTAACACTGTGTCCAGATCATGTTTTCGTGGCTCGTGGAAACAATTAGAAGTTTTTTTGTATGTTTGGAGCAGTTTTAAGCTTTCTAAAGCATTTTGGATACCTGCTAGGTAAGGGAAGCTAATTACCTTGTTTTAAGTTTTACCATAATAATTTTAACGTGCATGTCTGAGTTACTCAAAATTGGTGTTTGATGGTTGTATGTTGCTTCATCTTGTCTGAAATGGTCTAAAATTGGTAGTATGGCATGGGAAATCCCATTGTCATAGTTGTTGAATGTTACTTAATATTGGTTGTTTGAGATTGATGTTGTAATTGGTTGAGATGCTACTGAAGTTCGATTGTGTAGTATGTTTGTGAGCTGATTGAAATTTGTTGGTTTGGTGTTGAACTGATGGACAAAGTATCTGGCGAGTTTGAGTAAATTAGTATTCACTTTGACACTAAATCGTGTTTTTGGATCAACCACTGAGTTGAGAATACCAATTTAGTCATCTGAATAGGTCTCTAGTTCATTAGGTCTTAGTTGTGCATGTTGTAGGTTTTTGGTATGGCTTTCACCACTAAGTGGCCAACATGTGAATGGTCTAACGTTAAGCAATGACGAGGGTATCGTTCAACACTAGTTATCACTGCAAGTTTGGAGAAATTTTCACTATTTTTTTGTTGAGTGCAAAGCAAGCAAAAGTGAGAGTTTTGGCATTGAGCTCTCTCTCTTGTGATAAGTATTGCACTGAGCGTTAATCTGAGCACCAGTGTATGTTTCTGTGACTTCTTATTCTCTGGTTTGCTTAAATTGGTTTTATAATGTTTTTTATGAGAATATATATTGGACTTTGATGCTTCATTGATCAATAATATGATGACAAATATGTATGGTGCTTATTCAAGTATATAATTGTGATGATTATGAGTTTGTTATTGGTTGTGGGTATGATATATGTTTTTTTGCATAACTCTATGAATCTAGTAGAGATTCCATGGTGTGGGTTAATTGTATATGTATTGATGTAGGGATTTAATAATATGACACTCTAATACCATAAAAAATGTATGACCATACAAACACACCAAAGGAAGTGTGGAAAATTATTTTTTAACAACAACCGTACTATTATCCAAAATTTATTGTGAAACTAATTTTATTTGGTAAAAAGAAGTTAAGAGTTTAAAATTCCAACAAATAAACATTTTATAATAAAAAAACATGCCAAAAAGAGTTTGTTTCTGGGCCCAAATTGGACAGAGGGAGAGCCTCGCAGTGGTGATATGTAAAAAAATGGTGCTCATAGTGAAAGAGAGTTGCTCCCTCCACCACCACCAACCGCTCCCTGCACCTCCCCATACCTTATTTGCCCTTCTATAAAACGGATGTCAACATCCGTTTCACCTTCAACGGATGTTGACATCCGTAACATCCATTTACACATTTCATATTTTAGTTTATTATTTTTATTTAAAAGAAAAAAACTTCAACGGATGTGGCCACATCCGTTAACGGATGTGCCACATCCGTTTAATAGATTTTTAAAAAGTTTTTAATTTATTATTTAAATAATAATATATAAATTAAAATAATTATTATTATTTTATTAAATAAAATAAAATTAATTTATAAATAATTAAATAATAATTTTTAAAAAATTAAATAATATTTATATATTAATTTAAAATATAAAAAATTAAAAAACTAAAAATTAAAAAACAAAAAAAGGAAACGGATGTCGCCACATCCGTTAACGGATGTGGCGACGTCCGTTTTAATATATTTATAACAAATTTTTTAATTATTATTTAAATAATAATACATAAATTAAAAGTAATAATAATTATTTTATTAAATAAAATAAAATTAATTTATAAATAATTAAGTAATAATTTTNTTTTGGCAAGCTCATCAAATTCAACCGATAGTTTTTCCGTTTAGGATAAGTTAATTTTCTACATTTTTCTAAATTCATTTACTTTGCAAGTTTTTCTTGTTTGCATGCCTCTTTTAGTTTTTCTTTTTGAATATATATTGGTCAATGATCATGACGGTGTGATTTGATCATGTTCTTGATAACTTTTATAGTAGATAAAGCCTTCAATGGGATAGGAACTGATTTTGTCTAAAGAATCCTTGGTGAGTTTTGATCAAGTAAGAAAAGCTAGTCTTGATCTGTTTTATGTTATTTTTATCAATTGGATGGATACATGTTGCTATTAGAACAAATTGGAGATAAAAATGACTTTTTTTGCTGAATCTAGTTTGGTGTGTATTATTAATGTGGTCTTGTGATGATATTAAGTGTTAGAATGGTTGTGATTAATTGGAATTGCTTTTGTGTGTAAATGAGAGAGTTAGAATCTAACAATTGAACAAATTAGTACAAGTACCAATAAATTTAGAATTGTTTTGAATCAAAACACAAAAGGAAAGGTACCAAATTGATCAATTGAACAAGTCAGATTCCTTCAATCATAGCATTCATTTTTTATTTCTCATATAGCATTGAAGCAGGTTTAAAATCATTTTAACTTCAGGACGCTAAGTGCCAAAAGATGTCATTGAGTGCCAAAACGTGTTGTTAATTACCACTTTTTGCGAATGCTTTGGTATTGAGTGTCACTTTTCGCAAAAAGTTTGGCGTAATTCTAGGAATCTCGAATGAAGATTCTATGGTGATGTTTCTTTAATGTATGCATTGATATATGAATTCAAGTAAGAAGATATCTTGAACAACCATTCACATTCATGTACAGTAGAATGATTTATGTAGTGAAAGTCACATGAGGTCCTAATGCGAAGGTAAGATAATAGCCACAAATACGAAGAGGATTAACTTTGTAAGTGATAGGATGAAACTCATTGACAATAGTTTTGCATAGCAGTAGAGGTCACCACAAATATACGTTTCCAGTAATTTTGATATTAAATGCATCTATTCAAATAATTAAGTCTAGAAATAACTTCTCTTGTGTGCATATACATTTAGTGCATCTATCCAAACTTAGTTTTATATATGTGTAACATGATGCACTAGTTTAAGATGACTGTTTTAGAATACTAGGTTATCCTTTTGTGTGTTGTGTTTGTTTGTCTATTTTTGCAATGATCACCTATAAATGTAAGTATATGAGAAAGTAGGTAGTATTACTATAGGTAATTCCCTAGCTTATAGTGGTTTACTTGTATAGGAATTAGTTTTTGTATAGGAATTAGTTTTCGTGAAAGACTCTTGTACTCTTTAGTTTCTTTGTATATATTCTATTATTATAGTTATTATTTTCACTATCTAATTTGCATTATCAATTTTATAATATTTTTTAATAGTTTNTAAAATAATTATTTTACTATTTTATCCCTTAAGTGACTATTTACTTAAATTTAACAATTTTTTAGAACTAAATTAGCTACCTACAATAAAAAAAAAATATTATATGTAAGTTTATAATATAAGTTTATATTTGTTTCTTATATGATTAAAAATTAATTTTGTAAAGATATTGAAAATAACATTAGAAATGGTTAGATTCAATTATTTTAATATTAAAAATTTTATTATAAACAAGTTTTATTATTTTAAAACAAATCATATTTCTATAAACTACTTTTCTAGAGTTTTTTTTTTTACTTTTTAAGAGTTATATTCATTTGTTTGAAGATCAGATACAACTTGAGTGGTATTTAAAGTGTGATCTTCAAGTTTACCTAATCAATTTCTGCCAAAGAATAAGTTAGTTTCTATTATTTTCTCTGACTTGTTTCGTTCTTCTTATGCATGAGAGTTATGGTTCATTACATGTGTCATCTAAATCTTTTATAAGACTCTCTACTTATCAATGATACTAACACTGTGTCCAGATCATGTTTTCGTGGCTCGTGGAAACAATTAGAAGTTTTTTTGTATGTTTGGAGCAGTTTTAAGCTTTCTAAAGCATTTTGGATACCTGCTAGGTAAGGGAAGCTAATTACCTTGTTTTAAGTTTTACCATAATAATTTTAACGTGCATGTCTGAGTTACTCAAAATTGGTGTTTGATGGTTGTATGTTGCTTCATCT